CTCTCTCTCTCTCTCTCTCTCTCTCATGAATAAATAAAAAAATCTAAAAAAAAAAAAGTGACATCCATTCACATGATGGAATGCTATACAGCCATTAAAAACAAGGTAACTTTATGTTCAGTTATGTGACGATGTACTATGATGCTATAAAGTGAAAAGCAAGTGTAAGTGTAATGTAAAGTGAAAAGTCACATTGTAGGACAAGGCTTAGTGTGATTCCATTTTTGTTTAAAGAAATAAGTTATGCACATTTAGGCAGCAAAGGATTGCTACCTTGTGTACATAAAGAACGCTACTCGCCAATAAGATAAAAGACATCAATCCCCTGGAAAAATAGGAAAAGGAAATGAACAGGTAATTCACAAAATAGAAAATTCAAATGGCCAGTAAGGATGAAAATGTGCTCAACCTTCTCTGGGGGTGACGATGGAGGGGTCCTAAGGCTTCAACGAGTTAACCCATGTAAAGCACTAGGATAATGTCTGGCACATACTAAGTGCCTGGTAAGTATTTCATTAGTGAGTGTTGTTCTACCCCAAGACAGAAGTTGATGGGGTCATGGTCCTGTGTGAGCTGAGCAGAGGGGTGGGACCATTTTTAGGGCCAGATTCCTCAGGTGGACTCAGGCCAGGGCCTGAGTCACCTCTAACCACTGATGTGTCTCCTGTCTTCCTGCAGAGCCTTTGTGGCATGTGCCTGCCCAGGCCCGGCTCTCAGCCATGGCTGGAAGCGGTGGGAGCAAGCACGCCTCCAGGCAGGACGCGGCAGGAACAGATTCCCCCAACAGGCATTCCAAAGTGAGTCTGGGCCCCGCCTGCCTAATCCTGGGGAGCCAGGGCCTCAGGAGCCAGCTGCCTCGCCTCCCTGACAGCTGTGGGCTGGCCAGTTTCACCGGGGTGTGGGCCTCTGAACGCCACACATGAGCATGTGCTCCACCTTCGCCTCCTCCACTCTAGCAAAGGGGCTATAACTGCTTGGTCTGGAACCAGCCAGTGAGCCTCTTTCCACATGGTGATTCTGGAACCCAGGCTCGCTGTCCCTTAGGGCCTCAGAGCCCTCTGCTGGGTCCCTGCCTCTTTCTGGCAGATTGGGGTGGGAGCAAGAGAGGATCGGCTGGGAAGTCTCTATGGCCCAGGCCTGGAAATGGCATAAATCATTTCCACTTCTATCACACTGGCCATTACATATGAAAACTCCATCACGTGGCCACACCGCAGCGCAGGGGAGGCTGGGAAACGTAGTCTGGTGTGCCCAGGAAAAGGAAGTGGTTTTGGTGAGCACTCGGCAGTCTCTCTGCATCCCTTCATTCAGCAGGAGTTTGGTGGGCACTTACCACATGCTGGGCCCTGGGACCACAGTGGTGGAGCGGACAGATGAGCCCCTGTGCTCACAAAGCTGACATCCCAGTGGGGGCAACGAGCAGGAAGCAGATGAACACACATGTTCTGTAACAGTTCTGTAGGAACTGGTCTTTGCTATGAAAGAAAACCAAAGCCCAGTTCAGGGAAGAGAGAGCATCAGGCGCTGCTGCTTTAGGGTGAGGTGGTCAGTGAGGGCTTCTGGGGAGGGGACTGAAGCCCTGAGTGAAATAGGGGGCAGTCCATGAACACACCTGAGGGAAGAGCCTTCCAGGCGGAAGGAGCAGCAGGTGCCAAGGCCCTGAGGTGGGGGTAGGTCTGACCCACGCAGAGGAAAGCGAGGAGGCCTGTTTGGCTGCAGCAGAACGATCAGGCGGGAGGGGGCAGATGAAGTTAGAGGCCAGAACATGGGGCCAGACTGCGCAGAGCCTCAGGGAGGACCCTGGTTTTTCCGGTGAGTGAGATGAACCACAGGAAGGTTCTAATCAGGGAAGGGACATGAAATGGTGCATGAAATGTTCACAGCCTCCCTCCGGCTGCATGTAGGGAACAAACTGGGAGCCGGAAGACCAGGGGGGAGGCTGTTGCCGTGGTGCAGTGGGGGGTGGTTGGTGGTGGACGGGCCCAGGCTGGAGCCGTGGAGGACTGGAAGTGGCAGGTCCTGGGTCCCCTTTGAAGGTGCAGGCCACAGGATTTGCTGTGGGGCTGGACATGGGTGTGAGAGCAGAAGCAGGGTCCAGGGTGATTCCAAGACTCTCTTGTGGGGCGGCTGACAGGATGGAGGTGCCTTTACTGAGGCAGGGAAGAAGCGGATCCGGGAGGGAAGGCCAGGAGCGCAGCTCTGTATGCGTTGAGCTTCCGCTGTGGGCGGCACCTTGAATGCGTAAGGTCGTGTATCCCTCTGAGCAGCCCCATGAGGCAGGGTTATCACCCACCCAGCTTTACAGATGTGGAAAATGAGGCACAGGAGAGCTGTGTCATTCACCCAAGGTACCATGGCCAAAAGTGAGGGAGCCAGAGCTTAGGTGTGGGGAGGACGCCGGGAGGGGAGGTCCACGCCCCGGCTGTGGAGTCTGGGATGACACACCCGTCTCGCCTTCCAGGGGGAGCCTCCGTACTCCAGTCACTCCAGCAGCAACACCCTCTCTAGCAACGCATCCAGCAACCACAGCGACGACCGCTGGCTGGACCCCCTGGACCCCCTGGAGCCGGAGCAAGACCCCCTCTCCAAGGGTGGCTCCAGCGACAGTGGCATTGACACCACCCTCTACACCTCCAGCCCCAGCTGCGTGTCCCTGGCCAAGGCGCCTCGGCAGGCCAAGCCACACAAGCCCCCGGGAAGCATGGGCCTCTGTGGGGGCGGACGGGAGGCCGCTGGGCGGTCCCACCATGCAGACAGGCGGCGGGAGGTCTCGCCGGCCCCCGCAGTTGCAGGCCAGACCAAGGGCTACCGCCCGAAGTTGTACTCCTCAGGCTCCAGCACCCCAACGGGCCTGGCAGGGGGGAGCCGCGACCCGCCCAGGCAGCCTAGGTAAGCCACTGCTCCTTACCCCGGTCCTTCGGGGAGCCCTGACCACCGTCTCATCCCCCCGCAGTCCCGACATTGGGGTTCCCCTCCCTAGATACAGGCTCGCAGACGGGTGTGCTTACACACTAGTTTGCTTCCAAAGTCGGGAGGCTCGTGGACCACCCGCTACTGCCCATCGTTCAGCCCTCGGGTACCCTGGGTGGAGGGCAAGAAACCCCTGGCTGTCTGCTTCATCTGTCTCTGGTGCGCTCTGACCCTGTTTCTCTTTCCTTCTCTCTCTGCTTGAGACTAGTGGTTTTATGCTTTCTGAGGGTAACTGAATGTGTTAGGAGAGTGCATTTGGTTGGCAGTAACAGGACATCTGACCCACAGTGGTTTAAACAAACAGAGGTTTCCCAGTCCCCTGATGGGAAATCCACAGAGGGCAGAGCCAGGCTAGGACAGCAGCTCAGGGAGGGCCTCAAGGCCTGGACCCCGGTCTTTCCTGTGTCACCATTCTTATCATACTAGCTGCAGCTTCCTCGTCTGACATAGCCGTGGTGCCCTTGGAGGGCATGGGGCCAGAGAACAGAGGAAGATCGCTTCTTATAGCTCCCTTTCTCTGGAGAAAGCAAAAGCTTTCCCAGAGCCCTTTGAGCAAGCGGTGTCGCGAGGAGGTCTGAAAGACCACGGTTTAGTCTGCCAGCTCCTAGAGGGCCGTCGAGCACAGACTGCAGGATCCTGCTCGGAGTTCCTGATTCAGTAGGTCAGAGCGGGGCCTGAGAATATGCATTTTGTTAAGTTCCTGGTGGATGGTGATGCTGCTGGTCCGGGGACCACACTTTGAGAACCACTGGTGGCCAGGCAGGCAGGCAGGGGAGTAAGTGAGAAGGAACTGGCATTGGTGACCCATCAGTCTGGGGCCTGGACCGCATACGCTTTCAGCATCGGATGAAAGCCGCGAACCATCTCCCAGAAGAATGCACGGGGGTGGGAAAACGCTTCTGCCCTCACAGGGCTCACGTGGTTCTGGTACGTGTGTCCCCTCGAGGTCTGCGACCCCAGGCAGGGATTACGCTGCTGCCATCCCTGGTGCAGACCCCGGAGGGGCCAGCCCAGGACCCTGATACGGGGG